ATCCCAGCTACTCAGGAGGCTGAGGCAGGAGAATTGCCTGAACCCAGGAGGCGGAGGATGCGTTGAGCCGAGATCGCGCCATTGCACTCCAGCCTGGGTAACAAGAGTGAAACTCCGTCTCAAAAAAAAAAAAAAAAGCGGTTAGACCCGGGCCCTCTTCGCCATCAGTTTCCTCCTGCAAGAGCAAGAAGGCGTGACCTGCTTATGTGCTTGAAGCCCCAGAGAATAGACCCATTCACAGGATGCCTGGGTGACTCTGGTCCTATTTTCAGCTCATAAGGCATCACTGCAGCCATTCACTGCCACTTCTGTAGCCCATTTTGGTGGATCCCATGACCCGCCCCTAAGTGGGTTATTCAGTGGGATCCAAAGATGGCCAGGCAGTGGCAGGTCCTTCACCCCGCACGGCTGCTTTCACAGAGGGTGGATTGCAGTAGCTGGAAGGCCTCATCCCTTTGGAGTCTGTGGCTCTCAGGCCTTGAACCCCTGACTATCACCTCCCCGAGCCCATCTTCCCATCTGTAGGTTGGAGTCACAGTCCTCACCCGGCACATGGCTGGTACCCCACAGGCCATGGCTGGAGCTGGGGCTGAAGCGTCAGCCACCCAAAATAAGGCACTGGATAGAACTGGGGGCTCATGTGGGCCTCTGTGGTTTAGAAACTTTTTTTTTCTTATTTTTGGAGATGGAGTCTTGTTCTGTTGCCCAGGCTGGAATGCAGTGGCGCAATCTCGGCTCACTGCAACCTCCACCTCCTGGGTTCGAGCAATCCTTCTGCCTCAAACGCCCAAGTAGCTGGGACTGCAGACATGCACCACCACACCCGGCTCATTTCTGTAATTTGTAGAAACGGGGTTTCGCCACGTTGGCCAGGCTGGTCTGGAACTCCTGACCTCACGTGATCACCCACCTCGGCCTCCCAAAGTGCTAGGATTACATGAGCCACTGTGCCCAGCCTAGAAATGTTTCTTCATGAGTTGATTTGAAACACTTGACACCAAGAGGGTAGTGATGGGAACTCCCTCTCAGCCCTCACTGCCGTAGCCTGGCAGGGCTCTTGGGCCACGTTCAGTGGCTCTTGGAGCTTTCTCAAGGGCCTTCCAGCCTCCAGGGAGAGCCCCTCCACCTTCTGGTGAGGGCTAAGCCCCATCCTCAAGGGAGGGAGCTCAGGGCAGCCCCGATGAAGGCCGGATGCAGGAGAGCTTCTGAGCAGAGAAGAGCGCACACCCCCAAATTGATAGCCTGGTCAGGCCGAGAGTTGGGATAATCACTCCGGCCTTCAGGATCTTGGCTGCATGAGGCTTTGGGGAGAATCTGGTCTGGATTCCTTATCTTACAGATGGGGAAACAAGTCCAGGCACACAGAGGGATCTGCTCCAGGTCAGGCTTTGGGGCAGGGTCTGGAGTGGCCAGGGTGGGTGCTTTACCCGAGCGAAACCCAACACTGTGAGTGGCTGGGTGGGTGGAACCCAGTCCCACCCCATCCACAAGGGATTGTGGGATCCTCGACCTTAAAGGACACCGGTTATTTTCTTCTTCCTTCTGTCCCCAAGCAGAGCTCCTCTTAATCATCCTAAGCTGTCCGCGAAAGGCTCCATTTCAAAATTCTCCATGAAAAGCACTGACCATTTCCATTCCCTGTCAGAAGCTGTGACTGTCCATGGGGGGTAAAGAGCAGTGATCCTTCCTCTTTTGTGTTTTTCTTTCTTTTTTCAGTTTTGGGTTTTGTCTTGTTTTTTGTTGGTTTGTTTTTCTGAAATGAAGTCTCACTCTGTCACCCAGGCTGGAGTGCAGTGGCACAATCTTGGGTCGCTGCAGCCTCCACCTCCCAGATTCCAGTGCTTCTACTGCCTCAGCCTCCCAAGTAGCTGGGATTGCAGGCGGGTTCCACCACGCCTGGCTAATTTTTTGTATTTTTAGGGTAGAGACAGGGTTTCACCATATTGGCCAGGCTGGTCTCGAACTTCTGACCCCAGGTGATCTGCCCACCTTGGCCTCCCAAAGTGCTGGGATTACAGGCATGAGCCACCACGCCCAGCCTGCCTTTTTTATTTTTGAGACAAAGTTTCTGTTGCCCAGGCTGGAATACAATGGTGTGATCACAGCTCGCTGCAGCCCTGACCTCCTGGGCTCAACTGACCCTCTCACCTCAGTTTCCCAAATAGCCAGGACCCAAATACATGCACCACCTGCCCCCCGCCCCAGCTAATTTTTATTTTTCGTTGAGATAAGGTCTCCTCTCTTAGGCTAATCTCAAAACTCCTGGGCTCAAGCAGTCTTCCCTCCTTGGCTTCCCAGAGTACTGGGATTACAGGTGTGAGCCACTGTGCCTGGCCTGGTCCCTCTTCTTTTAAAGTTTAGGGTTTAATATATTTTTAGTAGAGATGGGGTTTCACCATGTTGGCCAGGCTGGTCTCAAACTCCTGACCTCAGCTGGTCCGCCTGCCTCAGTTCATTATCAAACTTAAGGTTCATTCTTTTATTTTATAACAGCTTTATTGAGCCGTAATTCATATACCATACAGTTCACCCATTAAAGTGTCCAATTTGTGGCCTCTCGTGTGGTGAGATCTGGGCAACCATCACAATTTTAGAACATTTTCATCACCCGAAAAGGAAACCCTGTACCCATAAGCAGCCTCTCTCCATTTTGCCATGCCCCACCCATAGCGTTTGGTCTTCAGTCATTGATTTTCATATTTTTGAGACACATTGGTGAATATTAAGGAACTTTAATCCACTTTTTACTGGTAGGATGGAGTTTTGTAGGTTTTCATTTTGGAGGCTGACTTTATTTTGCTCACGAAGGAGTCTCAAAGTCAAGAGGAGACCATGGATAAAGCTGCAGGTCCATTGGCCTCAGGGCTTTCCATCTGCAGAACAGCGTGGCTGGCTCCACAAAGGTCCACGTGTGCTCACTCACACCTGGTTTCAGGAAAGAAAGCAGAGAGGGGTCTGCTCTGGGGTGAGCAGGGCTGCTGTGCACTCCCCACCCCCACACAGCCTCCCAACACTCAGAAATCTTGGAAGGCGTGAGTTTCAGACTCCTGAGATCTGGAGCAGACAGCTCATCTGAGATGCAGCTGAATGAACACAGCCTCCTTTGTAAGAGGGCAAGGCCAGGCGCTCTGGGAACACAGGACAGAGGTGTCCTGAAGGCTGCAGCTGGAAGCGCTCTGTAACCCTGGGGCCTGACGCAGCTCTGCCCACATTCCCTGGCTGTGAGAGGGCCCCATGTGCCTGGGGCAGTGGCAGGGAGAAGGCCCAAGCAGCTCTGGGGATCAGCTGCAGCTGGGCTGGCATTTCCAGTTTCCCGAGGCTTGAGCTTGGCCTGGGCCCTCGGCCTCACTGTCAGACAGACAGAAGCAGAGATACTCAGGGTTTCTCTGGCTCCGTGTGGTACAGAAACGACACCTTCAGACCGTGGGGCCAGCCAGGCCTGTCACGTGTGATTAAGGACCTGGGTTTGTCATGTCTTCATTTGCAGCACAGTTAGTGGCGAAGGGCGTGGACGCTGGGCCCAGGCTGCCTGCATTCAGGTCCCAGCCTTTAACCTGGGCACACTGGGTGTCCTCTCTGTGCCTGTATATCCTCAACTCTTTTTTTTTTTTTTTTTTTTTTGGACAGAATCTCGCTCTGTCACCCAGGCTGGAGTGCAGTGGTGTGATCTCAGCCCACTGCAGCCTCCACCTCTTGAGTTGAAGTGATTCTCCTGCCTCAGACTCCCAAGTAGCTGGGACTACAGGCATGGGCCTCTGTGCCCAGCTAATTTGTGCGTTTTTAGTAGAGATGGGGTTTCACCATGTTTGCCAGGCTGATCTTGAACTCCTGGCCTCAAGTGATCCGCCCACCTCGGCTTCCCAAAGTGCTAGGATTACAGATACGAGCCACCATCCCCAACTGCTCTTCAACTTTAAAACAGACATTGAGAACAGTATCTGAGAGCAGCTGGTAACAGAAAATGACTCCCTTCCTGAAGCCTGCATGGGGTCTGGTGCTGGGGGTTCGTGCCGGGAAGAGCTGGCTCCCACGTGCTCTGACTGACGGGCCCCAATGCAGCTGCTTGCCAGGACAGGCAGTTACCAGTGGAGAAGAGCAGGAATGGCCTGGGTTCGAATCCTAGCTCTGTCTCTTGCCAGCAGGGCAACCCCTGGCAAGTCATTTAGACTCTGTCCCTCAGTTTTCTCATCTGTAAAATGGGGTTGAAGGTAACGGTGTCTCTGTGACTATTCAGTCGTTCATCAGAAACCACAGTGAGGATTAAATGAATGAGTTTTAGCAGAGGGCTTGCCCAGGTGCCCAGCCCAGGGTGGGCTCCCAGTGGTGGCTATTCACATGCTAAATTTAAAATGAAAATCAAAGCATTGCATTTTTAATTGGTTGGTTGGTTTGTTTCTGAGACGGAGTCTCGCCCCATCCAGGCTGGAGTGAAGTGGCGCTGTCTCTGCTCACTGCAACCTCCGCCTCCCAGGTTCAAGCAATTCTCCTGCCTCAGCCTGCCAAGTAGCTGGGATTACAAGCTCACGCCACCACGCCCGGCTAATTTTTCTGTATCTTTAGTAGAGATGGGGTTTCACCCTGCTGGCCAGGCTTAGTCTCGAACTCCTGACCTCGCGATCCACCCACCTCGGCTTCCCAAAGAATTGTTTCTTTACTGATTTGAATGAATACTAATGAGTGATCACGTTGCCACCATGGTTAGCGTCATTTTCCGAACACCCACCAAGCTGCGCTGACCTGCGTTTCTCCCTCTATTTCCCCAGCTGAGCCGCTGCCACTCATGGATTTGTGCCGTCGCTCGGTGCGCCTGGCCCTGGGGAAGGAGCGCCTGGGGGAGATCCACACGCTGCCGCTGCCGGCTTCCCTCAAGGCCTACCTCCTCTACCAGTGACGTTCGTCGTCAGACCGCCAGCTCGACAACCACCTGGTGCCACCTCACTGAGCCGCCCGCTGCTGGGGCCACCACACCCTGCACCTGGGACTGGCATCCACAGCCATAGTCAGAGGTCCCCGGTCTTCCCCTCATCCTCCGTGGCTGCCTCCATGGGACAAGGACCGATTCCAACACAGACTCCTCCTTCCCCCTTCCCAACAGCGGCAGAAGGCAGCGTCCCTGCATGCCGTCCATATACCACCCCTCCCTGAAAAAAGACACAGAGAATAAACTCCTATGAAAGTCCTACGTGAGCTCCGATCTGCTCTCGGGGTGGGACGGGTGCTCCCCGCATCTCCAGGAGAAGGCTGCAGCCACCTGGGGCTTCCAGGGTGGTGGAGGTGGCAGAGGGGGTACCACAGCTCTGAGAGCAGATGCCAGGGGTACTAAGAGGTGCTTAGATAAGGCTGGTGCCCGGCCACAGGTGCCCAGCCCAGTGGGGGCTTGCCGCGGCAGATAAAGCTCAGGACGCCAGAAACTCACCATGGACACCAAGGCAGAAACCAAGGACCGTCCGCAGGCAAAGAAGCACCCAGCATCCATCCCAGCTGTCGGTGCCCCGTACCCTGTATTTATTCTTTTAACAATAACAAAAGCCATTTATTTATTCCATCTAGAAAGGAAACGTTGTTTCAGTCACCTCTCTCCGGCTGTTCTGTGACTTTCCTCCCATCCCTGGGATGGGTGGCCATGCGTGAGGCACATGTGCACACGTGCCCAGGCACAAGTGTGTTTTTGGGCCCCCTGCCCCGCAGTTTCCAGGGGGCTCTGCTCCAAGTTCCCTAGCAGGCCCCTCAGGGAGAAAGAGCCTCACATGCAATCTGGGTGTCCTCGGGGCCCATCTGGAAGTGCCCTGCTTCTCCAGGTAGCCACTTACCTCCTGGGCTCAGACGTCTTTGCACATGGCTGTATTTCTTTAGTCTTCTCTGGGTCTTTTGGTGTGGGTTTGATTTTGCTTTTGCTTTTCTGACTGACATTTCCCAAGTGCATCCTCAGAAGCTCTGGGTGTGCCAGAGGACCCCCAGAACCAAGAAGGGAGGGCGAGCACATCCCCATTCCCTGAGAAGTCGGGGGCAGGGTGGGACAGGGAGGCCAGGAGCAGAGTCGAGCCTCACAGAAGCCAGCACGGGTCTCTGCTCAGCACCCCTGCTGGGGCTCCAGGCCCAGGGAAACAGCCCCAGTTCATCCCAACCCTTCCCAGAGCCTCAAGAAGGGTGACTCGGCTGCCGGCAAGAGAGGGGTGCCCTGTCCCTGCAGCCCCTCCATGTAGCATGCCCAGCACCTGCCACCACCTTCGCCATTTCTTTGAGCTTGAAGTTAACTCTCTGAGAGTCTAACTTTGGTTCATTTCTGCACAGGTACAATAGATGACTTTATTTGTTTAAAATGTTTAATATATACACATATATATATATATATATATATTTGTCTGTAAGAATTGTTTTAAACAGCTGCTGTAGGGTACTGTTTTTTAAGTAAATCTTCCAGTGGAGTATATTTTTTAAAGCACAATGTTGGTGCCAAGTCTGGGTGAGAAATGTATATTACTCCCTTATTATTCTGAGAGGTTTTTTTTATTTTTGGGGGGCAGGGAACCTTACCTGTAAGACTTTTTAAAGATTCTCCTCCCTCCTGTTTGAGGTGGGTCACATTCTGATGAATGTTTCACTTGTACAGATCCCAGCTTATGGCCTTGACCCAGCTGTCCCCACGGACACCGGGTGACTCGAGTTCTCTCTGCATCTCCCACCTCCTGATGCCCTGGGACCCTCGACCCCCACCCCCCACCTTCTTTCCTACCAGCCCAGAGCCTTGTGGCTTGTACAGTTTTGAAACTTCCGTTCTATTTTATGATGGTTGATAATAGTAACCTAATAAAGGAACGTTTGTTAAAACATCAGACCACTTTGGAGTTCCTCGTTTGTGCCTCAGGGGAGGGGAAAGAGGCATATGACTGACCGCCTCCGCCTCCACTGAGTCCAGCCAGCTCCACGGCCCACAGTTTTCAGCAGATGATGGGCCGACTCCTGCCACCCCTTGGCAGAGGTTGGGATGCCAGGCGAAGCCCCAGGCAGAGGAGGAGGAGAGTCCTAGAGGGATGACCCCAGAACGTCCTCATCCCCATTGCAGAAATCCCTAAGCTGCAGAAACTCGCTGAACTAACAAAGTGATTCTGCACATTCATGAGCGGATCAGGTTGGCTTGTGGGGTTGTAGAACTTGAGTTGACCGTGGGCTTTTTAGGAGCAGAGTGTGAGCTATTGTAGGCATCCTCAGAGTCCAGGCTCTCGGGGAAGGAGCAGGTCCCTCATTCGTCTTTGGGCCCCCTGGGGCCGAACGCATGGTGATGTTTGCTGAACTGTTGCTGAGTGAACTTACTCTGCTGGCCACGTGGGCAGAGCCCCCAACAGAAAGGACAGGAAACTCTGGCTTAGTTAGAGGATCAGTAGGTGATAAAATGACAAAAAGAAATTGACTAAGGCTGGGCGAGGTGGCTCGCGCCTGTAATCCTAGCACTTTGGGAGGCTGAGGCAGGTGGATCTCCTGAGGTCAGGAGTTTGAGACCAGCCTGACCAACATGGCAAAACCCTGTCTCTACTAAAAACACAAAAATTAGCCAGACGTAATGGTGGGTGCCTGTAATCCCAGCTACTCGGGAGGCTGAGGCAGGAGAATCGCTTGAACCTGGGAGGCGGAGGTTGCAGTGAGCCAAGATCGTGCCATTGCCCTCCAGTCTGGGCAATGGAGCAAGACTCTGTCTCAAAAAAAAAAAAAAAAAGAAAGAAATTTACTAAGATGTGATCACATGTCACGGCTAGTTTCCAAAGAATTAGCAAGAGCACATTTAGCTTGCGGTGGGGACACTTCATTCTCAAGGTGTGTTGGGATCTGATAGTGCCGTGAAAAGTGCCTGGCCTGAGAGCCCAAGATCCCTGGGCCCAAATTCCCCTGTTCCTTTCTCTAAGAGCCTCCTGACCAGCTGTCCACAGTGTGACCAGACTACACACATCAGCAGCACCTGGGAAGGGTTTGTAAAAATGAAGATTGTGGCCGGGCACGGTGGCTCAAGCCTGTAATCCCAGCACTTTGGGAGGCCGAGGCAGGTGGATCACGAGGTCAAGAGATCGAGACCATCCTGGTCAACATGGTGAAACCCCGTCTCTACGAAAAATACAAAAAATTAGCTGGGCATGGTGGCGCGTGCCTGTAATCCCAGCTACTCAGGAGGCTGAGGCAGGAGAATTGCCTGAACCCGGGAGGCAGAGGTTGCGGTGAGCCGAGATCGCACCATTGCACTCCAGCCTGGGTAACAAGAGTAAAACTTTGTCTCAAAAAAAAAAAAAAATGAAGATTGCAGGGTCCCACCTGAGATGTACCAAGTCAGCACTTCTGGAGCCAGGCCCAGGAATACGCATTTCCTGAACTCCCTAGGTGACCTTGCCTAAGAGAGTTTGGACACTACTACTTGTGACAGTGTCAGCTGTTTTGCAGTTGCTGGGTAAAGGGAAATTAATTCCATGGTGTCGGTGGGTTGACCCAATGAGGAGCGCATGCACTCCTGAGTCAGACCTGGATTCAAATATTGGCTTTGTGGCCTTGGCTGAGCCTCTGGAAAACAGCAGTCACCATAGTGTAGTACCTGCCTCACAGGAGGATAGCGAGGGCACACTGAGGCTCTCCCAATGAGCCTGGTATCTTAGTGAGTGTGCAAGCAAATGCTTTCAAAGCTCCTGCATTTCTGGAAAATGGCAGTTTCTGGGTTGTGACTTTGTCTTTAAGAATGGACCAGACGGCCCGGCAGGGTGGCTGACCCTGTGATCCCAGCACTTTGGGAGACCTAGGTGGGTAGATCACGAGATTGAGACCATCCTGACCAACAAGGTAAAACCCCATCTACTAAAAATACAAAAATTTGCTAGGTGTGGTGGCAGACACCTGTAAATCCAGCTACTCAGGAGGCTGAGGCAGGAGAATTGCTTGACCCTGGGAGGCAGAGGTTATAGTGAGCGGAGATCTCACCACTGCACTCCAGCCTGGTCAACAAAGCAAGATTCCATCCAAAAAAAAAAGAATGGCCCAGACATTTCTTTTTTTTTTTTTTTGAGACGGAGTTTCGCTCTTGTTACCCAGGCTGGAGTGCAATGGCGCGATCTCGGCTCACCGCAACCTCCACCTCCTGGGTTCAGGCAATTCTCCTGCCTCAGCCTCCTAAGTAGCTGGGATTACAGGCACGCGCCACCATGCCCAGCTAATTTTTTGTATTTTCAGTAGAGACGGGGTTTCACCATGTTGACCGGGATGGTCTCGATCTCTTGACCTCGTGATCCACCCGCCTCGGCCTCCCAAAGTGCTGGGATTACAGGCGTGAGCCACCGCGCCCGGCGGCCCAGACATTTCTAAACCAACTTACCGATAATCTTCCTTCTCAGGTAAAGTTTCCAAAGGTGGGTATTGGGAAGAAGGACCCCTGGATCCCTTTCCCAGAGGCAGTTGGAGAAAAGGGGGGGTCTACAATTATTTTTAGGTTGGAGTTCATGTCTGGGTTGCAGTTGGAACTCCCCTTCCTTTGAAGGGGGCGGCAGGGGAGGAGTGGGGCTGGGGTCAGGCGCTGGGGGCTGGGGGGGAGGGGAGGCACAGGGAAAATCAGGGCATGCGTTGCCAGGAGACTTCTGGGGGAGCAGGGCTTTGTGCTGAAGGGAGTGGTATTAATAAAACCATCTGTGCAGACTTGGCCCATGTGGTTGTAATTAATCCCCTGCCTTCAAGCAGGTAGCAGACTCTCAGGGCTTGGCCATAGATGGGAAGAGTCCTACCGTCCCCACCCTTCAGCACGCGGCTTCCCTCCCGCCGTCTCCGCTACTCGGCAAGATGAGGAATGTGGACTTTACTGAACCATAAACTATGCCGGGGAGCTGGGGAGGGGGCCGAAGACAGAGCAATTAGTTCATGCTCCAGTCCAGACACCCAAACATGGTTGGATTCCAGCTGCAAGGAATATTTGAAATAAATGAGCTGGCCAGGGCCAGGAGTTTGCTGTGTTTTCTGTACGGGACCATGGCAACCAGGGAGGAAATCGTGAGCTAGGGACTGAGCCCTAGAGTCAACAAATGATGTCCTGGCCCGGCAAATGCAGAGGAAGCCGCTCCTGGCTCGCCTTGGGTTTCTCAGGACTCAGCTGCTGGCAGGCCGGACCCAGGCCGGCCATCCCCCTGGTGCACTCAGACTGTGGTGTTCTCTCCTGGGTTCTGATTTTTTTTTTTTTTTTTTTTTTTTTGGTAAGAAAAAAGAAAACTAACTCTTCTCTGGAACCTTTCTTCTTGGGCCAGACAACAGCTGCTGCTGTTGCTGCCGGCCTGATAATTGTTTTCCTGGGTAGAGGAATATTCTCCGTGGAGCAGCTCAGGCTGAGGGTGGCTGGCTAGACAGAGGTGGCACTGACCTTGTGCGGGTTGTGTCTTCCCCCTTCGCCCCAATTGTAGCCTCTACGGGGTCTGCTTTATAGGCAGAAAAGGCAAAGGTGTCCTTCAGCTCCGTTCCCAGGTGACGTTTCGTTTGAGGGTGAACCTTGTAGCCGTCCCCAAGGATGTGTCGTATAAATGCATGTGAGTACCAGGACCTAGCTGGGGATTTCACCCTGAAGTTCACAGATGCCTCCTGCATCTGAATCACCCAGAGGAACCTGGGTAGGGAGGGGTAGCAGAATCCTGGTAAGCTTGATATACAATCAGATGGGCCTGAGGATATGCGTCCTTGAACACCCTTAGATGACTCAGATAACATCGCCCTGAAGGTTGCTGGGGTGCCAGAGTTACGTGCAGCCCTCTCTGCTGTCACCCCATGATCCTTCAGAGTCCTGCCAGGAGCTGAGACCCAGAGAAGCTTCGAGACCGCAAGTATAGAGGATTCTGTTCGAGTGGCCCTCCAGCTGTCTGCTCTGTGTATCAGCACACAGGCACTCCGAGAGCTGCAGATCAATGCGTCCATGCCAGGCACAAAAACTTCTCAACCAGGCACAAAGGCGCTCATCTTAGGAACGAACAAAGTAGGTACAAGGGAGAAATACAAGAGTCCAGGCAGGGAAACCTCAGCCCTGGGCTCTATCCTTTAGCTTAGTTTCCCCAAGGAAATTAGACCCTGGAAAGTTGAACCAGGAGGTTGGAGACAACATTCAGTTCTCCAAGCTACAGCCCACGCAAGACCCTTCCAGCAGGGCCATCCCCCGACGGGGGCTGCTCACGAGTGTTTCCCACAACCTCAGCAGAGCATGTAGGGACAAGGGCCTTGTCAACCCAGGATGGTGTCTTCTTCTCTTTTTACAGCCTAAGAAGCAAACATTTGGGCCGGGCGTGGTGGCTCATGCCTGATCTCAGCACTTTGGGAGGCCGAGGCAGGCCGATCACGAGGTCAGGAGTTGGAGACCAGCCTGGTCAACATGGTGAAACCCCATCTCTACTAAAAATACAAAAAATTAGCCGGGCGTGGTGGTGCGCACCTGTAGTCCCAGCTGCTCAGGAGCCTGAGGCAGGAGAATCCCTTGAACCCGGGAAGGAGGCAGAGGTTGCAGTGAGCCGAGATCGTGCCACTGCCACTGTACTTCAGCCTGGGCGACAGAGCAAGACTTCGTCTCAAAAAAAAAAAAAAAAGCAAACATTTGAATCCCCCTCCCACCTACATCCCTGGGCCCTACCTTTCGAAAAATGTTCAGCTTTGCCAATGATTTCTATTAAGCAAAGTGAGGCTGCCAGGGTTTCCGATGTCTACAGGTATAATCAACTCCAGTGAAGAAACCTCACCTTCCAGGCTAGCCATGCATGGTGGCTGCGTAACTGGAGAGAAGGGGCCTGGCTTCAGGAGTCAGCACAGCCTGGGACTGATGCCGGCTTCCTCCTCCCTGCCCAGG